AAGCAGGGGGAATGGGAGAGGGAGAAGCAGGCTTCCCGTGGAGCAGGGAGCCCAATGCAGGGCTCAATTCCAGGACTCTGGGTCTGAGATCATGACCCCAGCGGAAGGCAGTTGCTCGGGTCTGAGATCATGACCCGAGCGGAAGGCAGTTGCTCAACCAACTGAGCTACCCAGGAGCCCCTCTATTTATTTATTTTTAAAAATATGTATACCTTGTTTATATAACGACGGCAGAAATTTATTTTTTATTTTTTATTTTTTTTAAAGTAAGCTCTAGGCCCAATGTGGGGCTCAAACTCATGACCCTGAGATCAAGAGTGTCATGCTTTATGGACTGAGCCAGCCAGGTGCCCCTGTTTTTTATTTTTAATTTTAAAAGGTAATTTTAGTTGATTTGCTTGGATTTACCAGAGACACATAATGATAATTTTGCTTTATCTTTTCAAAATGTTTATAACTTGTATTTGGCTTTTTAGTCTAAATGCTTTTATATAAAACTTCCAGAAGGATTTTAATACATAGTAAAGAACTATTCTTCAGTTTTGGTTTTGGCAGAATGGACACTAAATTTTACTGTATGATTTTTCAGCATCTGTTGAGATAACAATATATATATTTTTTCCTTTTGGCATTATTTTTCTTATCACATATGATTTAATGTGGTTTCCTAAAATGTTAAGGATTTGATACTAGGGTTATGCTAACCTTGTACAGATTGGGTAGCTTCTAGGCCTTCTCTAAAAACTAATGGAAGAGTTTATGTAGCATAGGGATAATGCATTTCTTAATGTTTGGGTGAACATGAAATCATTTCTTCCCAAGAAAACATTAAGTACGCAATGTAGGTTTTTCTTTTACAATGCTCTTAATTTCTTTTATTTTTATTAGGTTTCTTAGGGATCTCCCTCTTCTTGAGCAATATTAGTCATATGTATTTTCCTTAAAATTAGGTATATTATCAATATTTATGCATTTTACCATAGATTTTTATGCTTAATATTTTTGTAGTCATTTTTTCTTTAATATTTGTTTCTTTAGTTATAATTGGGTTACTTTTTTCTTCTTTTCTAAATCAGCTTTGACAACAATTTATCTCTTTTTATTGGAGTTTGCAAAGAACCAACTCTTGGAATTATACATTAATTTTACCCTTTTATTTCTAGTTTGCATTTCATAATTCTTTTCTTAACTTATGAATTCCTTTCTCTTGTTTTCCTTATGGCTATTTTCTTTTTGTTGCTCCTATATCTTAATTTGGATGCTTAGTTAATTTTTGCTCACTCTTTAATAATAAAAGCACTTAAAGCTTTTAATTTTCCTGGGAGCAACTTTAATCACATCCCATATATTTTGATGTGTGTTGTTGTTATTGTAATTATTAAATAGTCTATGGCTAGAGTTTTGATTTATTCTTGGAGACAGACTTTATTTAGGAAAAGCTTTTCTTAATTTGTTATTTAATATTTGTTTATCCTCTTATATTGATTTCAAAAGTTATTGCATAGTGTACAGTGATATTGACCTATAAAAAGTTTCACTTTTTGGGATTAAGTTTTCTTGTTTAAGATATGATTAATATCTAAAAATATTCCATGGCCTTTGAAAATATTATTTTATATATCAAGTGCTATGGACTCAATTGTTTTCCCTCCAAATTTATGTTGAAGCCCTAACCCATAATGTGATGGTGTTTGAAGATGGGGCCTTTGGGGGATAATTAGGTTTAGATGAGGTCAGGAGGGTGGGGTCCTCATGATGAGATTAGTGCCCTTATGAGAAGGGATACCACAGAGCTCTTTCTCTGTCCCCCTCTCTCTGGGTGTGTCTTTCTCCCTCTCCAGGTACCAAATCAGCCAGTACCTTGATCTTAAACTTTCTGGCTTTCAGGACTGTGAGAAATAAATTTCTGTTGTTTAAGCCACCTATTATACAGTATTTTGTTATGGTAGCAATAGAAGATAGTGAATGGCATAATCTTACCAATCTAATTTCTTTCATTTTTGTGTATCCCTTTCCAACTGTTGCTTGTATATGTCCACACTGGGCTGTTTTATATGGTGAAGAGCATAGTTTTAATTGGAAGCTGGGAATATGTCTAAAGCCAAGAAAGAAATAGACTTTGTTTTTCTGGTAATCTAAGAATCTGAAAGAAATAGCTCAGCTTTGGAATAGGGAGGTCATGTGTCAATAATGGTTATTTAAAAATTTAATGACAGGACAAGACCACCCAGAATGAAGTAATGGGAGACTTGAAGGAAATTGCATACTGCTGAAAACTAAATGCATCTAATTGACTGATGCATACCTGTGTACCTGAACTTATCTTGCCATGTGTGGTTTGTACACTGGGATTCTCTAGCACCACAGGAAAATGAATAATTTCCAATGGCCTACTACATGTGCCAAACTGTGGAATACAACGTGATAAAATGGCAAGTACAAGAGAAGTATAGGAGGAGAAATATGTGTTAATCTCAGGGGCCACCACAAAGTAGGTCAAGTTAATTATGATAATTATGAATTGTAGTTTTGTGTTTAAAAGTTTATCACACAGGCTCTAAGGGCTTAGCTTAATTTACAGCTCTTACTAATTAATCAACTAATCATGTCAACAAATACTTATGGAGTGCTTACTACAAGCCAGCACTCTGTGAGGCTTTGGAGAAACAGTGGAATAAAACAAATTCTCTTTCTTCCGGAGCTGGCAATGGAATAGGAACACAATTACACTACAATGTGATCAAGTCTGGAAACACGTAATTATAATATAGTGTGGTCAGGTTTGCAGAGAGTGTCCGAGGCCACACAGCTAGCTAGCTATAGGCACAAAAAAGAGCAAAATTCTGACTTCTTGATTCTGAGCCCAGTGTTATTTCTACTACAATAATAGTGCCTTCCACAAAATATTAAATATGAGCAAATAAAGCTAAATGTAATTTCAAGTCAGAATCATCATAGATTTATTTGAAAATCACCAAACCTGGACGCAGCTGGATCAACACTTCTCCTGGCGTCACCTGGGTATTAATTTCATTTTCCCTTGGTATTACATGCACAGATGGGTATTCTATTGAATCAATCGAACAGCCTTTGCTTATTAAATTGGAAATAATATCACAACGTTCACTCCTTGATCCACCTGAAATGAAATCCTGTTTAAAAGAAGGAAAATCACTGACGTTTTTAGTGCATATTATCTCAGTTATAATCAAAGAAAACCACACAGCAAATATTGCAAAGAAGCCATCTTCCAATATTGCACAGCTTATGCAACTATTCAAAATAGCTGCATGTTTCCAATAAGAAAATTAGTAAATTTGTCTTAACTAAAGCTTTAATTCCTAAATTTTATTTAAAAAGAAGAAAATGAATATTAAAGAAGAGATTTAAACCAAAGACTTTAAATATTGTTAACTGATCACTGTAAAATTATACCAATTTAATTCTTTCTAAATATTTTATGTTGGAAAGACTGCTTCAAAAGAAAATTTATTCAAAATAGGCCATTCAGTCAATCCAAATGTAAGTTTCAGTTCTCAAAGAACCCAGCTAGTATGTTCATTATATATTATTATATTTGGAATATAAAGCAAGCCCTCGGGAGTCACATGCCTAACAAGGTACTAAAAATTAAAAAAAAAAAAAAAAAGAATTGGAAATCTATATTGTTTAGACCATAAAATCTCCCACTTCTTAGACACACAATAGCCTGTAAATAATTTAATAAACCAAGGAAGATGTTCATAATGAGGCTGGAAGATGCAAGATTGCAGCTAAAATTCTCCTGATTTTGAAACTGAATCTAGAACTTTTATTACCATTTAGCATTGGTTAGGTGTCATTCAATAGCCATACAATAAACTTGGAATTAGTGGAGCAAGCTTAAAATTTAATTTATCATGACTGAGTAAAATTTGATATTTTTATTTTTCTTGTAACCAATTAGGTTTTTCCCTAAGAACAGGAAAGTATTGAAGTATAGAAATATGTTTTGTTATATATAATGTTGGCCTGAATTATTTGGAATATTTGCTTACACATTAGCTGGATATTTGCTTAGTGATCTTCCTGGCAGTGGCTATTCTGATCTGGCATTCCGTCATTCCTCCTTTAGTTCAGCTGATTCAGGGAATTGGGTTTCCAACTAATCATTCAATCAAAGAATACAGATTGACTACTTAGTCAGAGACAGTAGTTTGTTAGGTGCTGAGGATACAGAATGGAACGAGACAGACTCCCTCCCTGCCATCAAGGAGTTAACGGACCATTGGCGAATTCAGCCATTAAGCAAGTAAAGGTCATTATTATGGACGTTAAATTTAGGGGAAGCACAGAATTTCATAGGGTTATGGAAGAAGGAGATTATATCAAGTTCAATGTTAGTTGGAGTATTAGATCACTAATTATGGATAGGAACATCCGTAGCACTGGTGAGTGTTAGATGGGATGGTGGTAGGCAATATAAAAACATTCATACAAGGATTTTAATTTAATTCCCCTCTTAATTTAGAACAGGGGTTGGAAAACTAGGGACAGTGGGACAAATACAACAATCCATGGCCTGTTTTGTATTGATTGAGTGCCAAAAAATGCTTTCTACATTTAAAAAATGCTGTAAAACAATAAAAAAGAAGAACATGCAAGAGACACAGTATGTGGCCCACGAAACTTAAAATTTTTACTGTGTGGCCCCTTACAGTACTGATTCTGAATTAGAGTGTGAAACACACTTAAAATATAAATATAATTAAAAGATAAAAGAGGATATATCCTTTTCAATTAAGATTTCCAGCTGTCATTTGGTAAGCAACTTCACGGGAACAGAAAATTTCAATTTGCTATGCTATTGACACCTAGATTTTTAACGTGAAGTTTAAAAAGTCCAAAGCCTTAATTTCTTGTATCCAAATTTATCCATCTATTGATAAAACTCAGAGGTACGCAATATAAGATTTAGTTTATAAACAGTTTGGAGTTCTTCAAAGAAAGGTGGCATAAACTGCCATCAGATGTATCACTTTCCTTCAGAAAGCTCCAGATGGGGAGACCCTCCTGTCCTGGAGCTTGAAGAATATTGAGGGTGCATGAGGCTTGTTCACGCCTCACATAACTGGCCACAGACAAAGGGCCACACGCGTTTTACAGATGTGAAAACCCCAAGACTTCAAATCACGAAAGGAAATAAAGTACAAATAATTCCAATTTTTCTTTTCAGCAAGGGATTTTGTTATTTGTGTATACAGAAATGGAAAAGAAGGGAATATGGTTAATTCACTGCAACTATACATCACACTATGCTATTTGACCTTTAAATGTCAAATCATTTTGCTGAAATAGGCAAAATAGTCTCAATTACTTTGCAGTGTCTGAATCAGCATGGCTGTTTTTACTCCACTATAAAAACTGAGTTAGAAAAACACTGCCAATTTGACAATTAGGTTTGAGAAGGGAAGAAAAGACCATGACATCAAAATAAAGGATGGAACGCTGCCCCTACCCACTGTGGCCTACTTTCCACTTTGTATAAAAGAAAAGAATTTGAAACCACACCCTTTTAATTTGTGGTGTTTTGTGTCATTATAATTTCTTCTAATTCTTATGTTTCATTTTTTCTGCAAGAAATACACAAGCAAAATCACTGTCTGCATCTCAAGCCTATTTGTAAATGAAAAGCCCAGGTTGAAGTTACCCCAGATGGCTTTTCATCAGTTGTTACTTTCATTCTTTCAAGATAATTATATCTGGGGAAAAAAATAAGAAAAGTTTTTTCTTCTCATTTCTGAGTCTTTCCGATTTCCAAACATGGCAATCTGCACAGAAATGAAGGAACTCTACCATCTTCCTTTTGACAGTGAATGCCCTTTGTGTTGTCTTTTAGTATAATTATGTTCGAAGGCTGCCCTCTAAACTTCTGGCTACGTAATCACAATCTGTGTCTAGCATAGCACGCAGGAGAGAAAGAATTCTTCAAAACTCATCAAGATATTTACATGTGTTAAAAAGGAGGTTGAGGCATTAAACTAGGCAATACTGGTAAGGTCCTTTCTATCCTAATTATTTGTCCAATTATTTTTATGTAGCATGGAGAGAAAGAGAAAGCAAAACATATAGAACAGCAGATTAATATGCTATAAAAAAAGAATGTAGGCAAATTGAATATACCCTGTCTAAATTTTCTAGTGATGTTTTACTTCTGACCATCTTTGAAAATTGTACAAATTAGGCTTAATTTGTTACCGTTTACCTATTCTAATCATGAACAGAGAAAAAAAATGCCTATTCTTTCCCTGTCCCTCCACTCCCATTGGTTAAGAAATAAAAGACATTAGTTGCATATGTGCCTAGTGGTGTAATCTTTCAAAATTAACCATTATATTCTTCCTGTCGATGTCAGGTCAGCCTGCAGGGAGTGGACAGCTCCTTCTGTTAATGATGTGGCTAGAGGCTGAGTCCTGATACTGGTTGCTCCCCCTTAGGTGGTGTTCTTAACGCAGTCCTCTTGGTTTCCTAAGCCTCAGTGAGTTGCTCTGGAGTCTCACTCAAGTTCTTAAAGTAACAACTCCCATCTTTAAGCAATACGTGGGTCAAATGCTTCTCACATACTGTTTTGTTTAATCTTCACTGCAGCGTGTCATAGGTACAATTATTATTTCTGCGGGAAAACTGAGGTTCAGAGTAGTTAGAGTAACATGTCCAAGTTTATACAGTTAGAAACTGATGGCCTTGGGATTTGTATCCAAGGTGATCTCATTTCAGAGCCCGCTTTTTCAATACATGAATGAGATGACCCTACACTACGTAGAAGAATATTTTGCAACATGAACAGCCAGCTGATTTCCAAGTGTTTCCTGAGATCCTCTTCTGAAGCATTTGGCCAATAGCAGACATGGGTTTGCCTCCTCTGCTTCGGCAGCACCTGACATTTCCCCTTGGATTACCTCCTTGCATTTGGCCACCAATTTCTCTGAATACTCAAAATCCTTCCCCTTGTGGCAGGACTGACATTTACTATGTCTATAACTGCACCTCTCCAGATTTTCTGTGCCAGCTGCAGTATCAGAGAAAGGGGTCCCTCTGGGACTTACCATTCTATATGGCTGGGATGTTACATTTGGCTGACAACTGGGTTTCTTAACCATCTTTTGAAAGTTCCTCTAAACTATACTGACTAAAGTTCTCAGCAGCTGGTATCAAGTTGACATAAACTTCATGGCTCTAAGGATCTTCCTCAGTAAAAATCTAAAATGGAATATTGGCCGAGGGTCAGGAAATATCAAGCCATGAGACATTCTTGACAAGAAAATCTAGAAACAAACTCCAAACTCAGGGTTATAGAGATGAGGAAAGGGAGGCTCAGAGAATAGAGTGAATTCTATCTGGTCATTTGACTCATCAGAGGTGATGGGACTAGCAACTCTGGAATTGTCCTCTCTCTGACATTGCTTGATTCCATGGGTTCTGGTGAAGCACTGCTAGTTTTGAGTGACATCTGATTTTCTCACTGGTAAAGCCTAGAGCATACCCAAGAAGGCTTTGGGTTGTCAGTAGGAGGGACACTGGCTACTATTTTCTGAACCCCTCCCCTGCCTCTTTCCTGACTTGCTTTAGAAGAAAGTAATGTCCACCATCCTTTGCTACTTTTCAGCTTTCTTTTTCCCCCTGGGAGATGCATAAGGGCAAGCAGTAACAGGAGAAGTTGGAAAGATGATGGTGGGTGCAGTTTTTGAGCGAAATCAGGAGGCAAAAGCTAGAGATTTCTTTTCATGTCAGGCAAAAGACCATTAAAAATCTATTTGTTCCAATTCACAAGAGCTACATAAACAAATATAAAATTACCTATATAATTTCACAAAAGAACCCCCAGATTAGTAGATGGCTTCTTCATTACAACTTATCATATAAGGTAGTTCTTATTGAAGATTACCAAGAAAAGAAAAAATTCACAAAACAACTTCACAGCCAAGAAAGAAGGAATGCATTATAATTTTTTTTTTTACTAAGAAGTTTGTTATTGGGTTATGTTTCTCTTGTTAGAATAGAAAAACACTAATTTTGAACAATAAACAATTTCTGAATTATTCCTCATTCCACAGAATTTAAATGTACACAGTACTGCATGAATAGGGTCACATGTCAAAGGAAAAGTATCCCATTTTTCATAAGTAACTGGCGAATTGATGTACAATGTTATGAAATGGAGTAAATAACTTATCTCTAAGTATTTCAAGTAAAAACAAATGAAACAGACCAATAAACTAACTTGCTTTTCTTTAATAAGCAAGTACAAGACTATGATCCAACTTGCATATATAACCTACTGCCCCAAGCTGCAGCAAGAATTTCACACAAAGCCTACTGACCTATCAAAAGTCATTTTCTGTGTTTGCCAATTCTCTCTATAGAACAGATGGGAGACATAAAATGGTTTGCACTTCATTTTAAAATCACCATAATTCTCCTAATGAAAAGGTTATACTTTTTATTAAGCCAGATATGCTGTTTCCAAGCATAAAACCAAATAAAATTTTCCTGATGCTCAGCAGTATCTTTCTTTTTCCTGATGCACCTTCAAGGCACAAAATACTAGGGCAATGAAATCATGCCTAGAGAGAAGGTCAACCAGGAGGAACAGAGAAAAGAGCAAAAAAGAGAGAAGAGAAGGAAAGGAAAGGGAAGGGAGACAAGGAAAGAAGGAACGAAAGAAAGAAAAGAGAGAGAAAGAAAGAAAGAAAGAAAGAAAGAAAGAAAGAAAGAAAGAAAAGAAAGAAAGAGAAAGAAAGAAAAATAAGAAAATAAGAAAGAAAGAAAAAGGCACACCTCTTGAGCACACCATCCACATTCCGGACCCAGCGCAAGGCACTTGGTGCAGGATGCTGCATTCGAAGATGTACATCTATTGTCTTCTGTAATGAAGGATAAAATGAGGTGGTTACTCTCATACTGGGAAGTATATACAATTCTAGACCAAAATGTATTTTGAAAACTGAAACAAGCTGACCAATAGTTTAAAGTAAATATTAAAAATATATATAATTTCTTTGGGAAGAGGTAAGGTTAACTGCATTATAATTAACAGATAGAACATTTCCTGGATAGTTATTATTTGGTTTTATAAGGCTGGGAAAAAGGAGGGTGATGAAAATGTGATTTTAGTTAGGTTTGGGGTTTGGCTTGTATTCTACTACAAGAGTAAAAGACACTCTACATTTTTTAGTGTGCTGAAGTTTCACTGTATTTCATATTATCTGAACTAATAAGGCATTTTTAGATCTAGAATTTTTCCTGTAAAAATAGTCATATACAGACCTCAGTCTGAACATGTCAATCCATGTTGGGTCATAGTGAATGAATTTTCTGAAAAATGACCTTGATTTCTTGAGAAATGATGACATAATAGATTAATTCAGGAATTCGATTGTCTCAATATTGATATTTTGGCTTGATGGGTATCAGAACTAAATATAACAGCATGGTTCAACATTTTAGACATAAAGTAGTTAAGATGGATGAATTGTTTTAGTTTACCCAATTTAAGATCACTTTAAGATCATGACCAGTTCACTTTCCCATAGATTCCCACACCTAGCTGTGACAGAGTAACATAGTATATATGTTAATAACATAGCTGTGCCTGGAAACTCTTTACCTTTATCTGTAGCCACTGACTACTTATATCATTATGAAGAGACTCATCATTATGAACTTAAATACATAAAATACAATAAAGAAAGAGTCATAAATTATTTTATCATGAGTTTTTAGTGGAATAATCACATACTTCCTACAGTCCATCCTTTACTATGAAATGTCACAAGGACACTAGAAATCACAGCATTCTATTCATCTCACTCACAGGCAAATAACAGGCATTCTAGCTGTAAGTATTTCACAGTCCAGGTGAGGAGATAACTATATAAGCAAAGAATAAAATACAGTATGATAAGCACAACAAAAGAGACATCACCAAGGCACTATACGAACATAGTGAGGGGCTTCTCACTCTGCTTGAGAGGGAAGGGCAGGGTTAGGTGAAGAGGGTGTGTTTAAGGATGATCCCTAGAGGCAGTGAGATCGAGTATATCTCTTTGCCATTACATTTTGTTTCTTCTAATCTGTGTTTATCTTTTAAAAAATGTAATGAAAGAGGCATGAGAGAGGACTACGTGTGTTTGTGTGTGTGTGTGTGTGTGTGTGTGTGTGTGTGTATAATCACACAGGGACATGGTAGCTTGAAGGGGGATCAAGCCCACAAAATCTCTACCTGTCCCCATCCAATCAGTTTTTCTTTTTCTTCTCTGTCAACTTGCCCCAACATTCTAGAATACACAGTTAAAACAGCAGTGACCTGAAGGTGGCATGGGGTTGGCGTTGGCAGTGGGAAGAGAGAAAGAGGAACTGTAAGAAAGAGAGTAAGTATAGCAGAAAGGTACTAATTGGGGTGGTAGTGAGCGCTCTTCCCTGTATTTCCCCAGATGACCAAGTTAAGCCAAAACCATCCCTCCTTAACTCTTACTGGCTGTTCTATTATCTCCTCCGTGTCCCTTGCAGCCTTTGTCCTTTGCTTTATGTCAACTTTTAATAAACATGATCCAAACTTCTTTACTGATTTGTCCAGACCTGGTCTAGACTTCCAAGGACTAAAAATAACTACTGTTATTTGGGCTGCCTTTACTACTAGTGTGGCCACCTGACTATGAAGACTCTATAGCCTAAAATCCTTCTATCTGGCTTAGCCTGCCGAACTATAAACGGTGCTTATTTCTAAAGTATTCAGAGGACAGAGTGACCTTTTTAGTTTTATTCTCAGAAAGAAATCAAGCACATTTGCAGACCTAACTTGGCCTTTACCAACTCTTAAACTTGACCTGACTGGAACGTGGAAGTAAGTCTATTTCAGTCCAGGCTTGACTAACTCTTTCACTCCATAGGTAGGACGTTGGCACTGGCAGTTAAGATTGTGCTCTCTTGGAAGGGAAGCTGCCGCTTCTATGACTGTGGTCTTTGTTTCTAATAGTTGTGTGACCATGTCCTAAGTTAACCCAGATTCAAGGTTAGGTCAGTCTCCTACTTCCAAGACACAAGTGGTAAATAATGAGTTTACAAGCAAAAATCTTTCTTTACAGTCTGCTTTCTGACCATTTGTTTTAAAAAGTCCTACTGCCAACTTCTGTTCTCAGACTTCAGACACCTAAGAATGATGACCAAGAGGGGTAGAAACTTTGGTTGTGTTATTATGTCCCAGGTTCCAGGGTTGACATTTCTCAGTCTACATAATTATAGGAAAAATGATCCCGTAAATGGATATGGAGGAGGCAGACCTTACGATTCTGCAGACCTGAGGAAGGCCATAAATTGAACTCCATGGGAATAGTGTCAAATGTTACTGCTGGAGAGTGTCATGGTTAGACTTCAGAAGACAAACCAGATACACTTTGGTAAGCAGAATTCTAAGAGTTTTTATTTTTCATTTTAAACACACATTAGGTAAATACCTAACATGCAAATATCACGCCAATTAGAACAGTTCTTTACACTGAATGGTCATGCTACTATGGAGGCTATTAGTCAATATGTGCTAAAGGGATGTGTGTGTCTTGCTGTCTGTCTGTCAGATCCTCCCATGTAATAGAAATCTTTATATTGAGCACACATCAATCAATGCATGAGTGCTGTTTACCGACATGGGCAGATTATCATCAGCCTCTAGGTCGACTCCGTTCATTGGCTGCATCCCTGACGCAACATCATAGTAGGCTGCTTCCCAGTGATGTTTTCCTAGCAGCCCTCAGCACTAACACCTCATTAGAGGGGGTGCCTGAGTGTTTCTTCTTACCACTCTTAAGACAGTGGTAGCTACCTGTCCAGCTATTTGTTCAGTGGTATGGCATAGCACTGTATTCTTAATTCTAGTTAGTTCTAGATTCTAGCATTGTGTTTTTATTAAGGATACTTTTTTTGTGGATCTTAAAGGAAATTACAAAAGACAGTGGAGGCAGAATCATATTTTAAACCATATGTCTTCAGAACCCTCTTTTGTTCTCATTTCCTTTAGTCCTAACTGCCTCACTAATCCCATGTCATTAAAAAAATATGCTACCAAGACAGAAATTAGTAAATGATTTAATGTCATGTAAGTGTGTACATTCTGAAAAATTCTATTCCTTGATCTATGAGCATGGGCTGAGATTCTTACTTTTACTCCTATTACAATTGGAGGTAACAGATACAATGAGGTAGCATTGCTAAATAGTTACTGGAAATAAAGTCCCAAATTTCCACAGCACTGTTACTTAAGAGCAATGTGTTCTTAGGCTAGTTACCTAAATTCTCAGGTTCCATTTCTTCCACTATAACATAGGGCTAACTATACCTATATCAAAATACTGATATGAGATGAAATGAGCAAGCATAAGCCTGCTAAGCACAGTACTTAGGGTATGGTAGACCCTCAGCAAAGGGACTAAATAACTTATTTATAATTAATATTATAATAATTTATGTGTGTATACATCTAGCTTCAAAAAAAGGGGGAGGTGTTTTGTGTCTTTAAATTTGTTGTAAATATAATTAGTTGTATTTAAAATGAAAGTCCCTTGGATCATAAACACAAGGTTTTAAAAAAATATAGCTAATATATAAAAATAACTATTAAGTAAAAAGCTACTGGGGCGCCTGGGTGGCTCAGTTGGTTAAGCGACTGCCTTCGGCTCAGGTCATGATCCTGGAGTCCTGGGGTCGAGTCCCGCATCGGGCTTCCTGCTCGGCGGGGAGTCTGCTTCTCCCTCTGATCCTCCCCCCTCTCATGCTCTCTCTCTCTCTCATTCTCTCTCTCAAATAAATAAATGGAATCTTAAAAAAAAAAAAGCTACTACTTTTATTTTGATTATTTAAAAATGACTTTTAAAAGCCAATTTATTCAAATATACACACATCAGTCCAATCTGTTACAAGTACAATTTTGGCATGACTATAATTGATCACCGAAAATCTCTTACAACACCTTCATTTTGTTCACATTTTTCAAAGTGTACCTTGACTTAGTCTGAATATTTTTCTAATTATTTCCCAGAATTAAATGTTTCTGACGCATGTAAAATGACCTTTATAACAGTCTGTCATAAAGTATATATCTATCATCAACAGGATAAAGTACACAAAAATCAGGAAACTGCATATTTGTGACTGTCACTTAGATATTCTTTGTTTTAGATGATGCATTTATTCATATTATTTTGAGAATGTTTAATCTATAGAAGTAAGAAGAAAAAGAATATGGACCAAAAAAAAAAAAATAATAGTAACTAAAAAAGCCTGTTTTTCAACGTTTAGATTGGGATATTTCCATAAGTCAAGTGATCAGAGAAAGTGAAAGTTTTGGAAACATTTCTAATGTTTTTCTGCTCTGAAGTCTACACCATAAAATTTCAACAAAATTTAAAGGATGCCCAAACTTATCTGGAAGAAGGAACAATTAAAACTGATAAAGATTGTAGTCCTTAATATTCAGAATCAATCATTTTGGATTCTCCTGTTAGGACTAGACAGAATGATTGGTGAAGAATAAAGAAATGCATTTTGTTTCCAGAGTATCCTTTCCTTAACTGCATTTACTATACAAATTAAATTAAACTTGGATAATTATATAAAGCCACTTCCTTAACAAAAAGATAAAAGTAAACACTGTTAAAATGAATACATACTCTACTTTGATAGCAGTCAAAACCAGGCAAATTGAGCACAAAGAATAAGTTTTAGAGTATAACTTTGGAGTTTCCTTGTTCTAGCTGTATATTGCAGCCATGTAATTGTTACAGATATCTTCAAAATACATTACCTGATTACAGAAAGCTCTCTTTTGCACAGAAATTTAGCATGCTATCATTTGATGTAAAAATAAAAATGA